AACTTGACACGCTATTTTTTAAGACCTAAAATTTCATGAACTAAAACATTTTAAATATTTCTCCACAAATTATTGAACTTTAGCTGCATTTGGAACTCATGCATTTGCTAGTGCTACATTTCATCCCTTGTTGGGGTTGAATACCCCAATTTGAAATAATTTTGAGCCAAATTGTTTTATGTAAGTTCTTGTTTTCAAGGGATGTTCCGTAAAACCCCAATTGCTAGAACAAATTCTTTATTTTTCTACAAAAATAAGGATTTAATGGCCAAAAATTCAAAATAAATACTTAGAGATAAGATAAAAATTGGAAAAATTATAGAACTGATTTATCTACGAAATAAGGGTGCCACCTAAATTTTCATACGATTTGATCACTGTTTGGTATTTTATTAAAAAAATTCATTGAATTAGAGCATGAGTTACAAAACCAGGTCTTAATACTCAAATGCACAAACGAATAATTTTCCCAGCTTTGGGAACATTATTAGAACCTGTACAAATTAATTTGGGAATTTTTATAGCTATTTAGTATATATTTCTAATTTTTCATATTATTTAGGCTTAAATTACAAATAAATATCAAATGACCTTCAAAAATTACTATAAATATTATAAAAAACCACACCCACTATTATAACAAAAAAAATATATTTTTGTAATTTTTGGAGTTAATCTTCATGACTTTCTGGATTTTTGAGCACAAGGCACCGTGAATCCAATATCTACCGATAATGAACCGAAAGAACTTTGTGCACTTTGTAACATAACTAGTTGGCTAAGTAGTTACTAGATTATGGCTAATGATCAATGACTTACTAGGAACTTATTGTTTCATAGGATGCTAGTAGGGATCGAACCCAGTGACCTCAAACCGCGACATATGAACCGCGAACTTTCCCTTGTGAGTATTCACAACCCATTTCTACTATTTTCATGTTTTGGGGTGGAAAGCATGCTACTATTTTATGAGCTATCCGTACTATTTTATGAACTTGGGACTTTGTTTTATGAACTTGTTGAACTCAATTTTGTGAACATGTTAAGCCTTGTTTTATGATCGTAATGAACTTGGAACGATATTGTTTTATGAACTTGATGAACTTGGCACGATACTTTGTTATGAACGTCTGTTATGAACTTGTGCTATGAACTATTGATATGAACTTGTTATGAACTTTGTATGTTAAGTCCCTGAGAACTGAACTACAACCTATTAACTCGTATTTTGAGCTGACGGTCTTATGGATAACACTATTTGGGGTAGACAACTCCCACTCACCCAGAACCGTGAGTGCATATTTCTGCGAACTGACAACATGGGAACCATGGACATGATGGAATGGGGAAAGAACGGTCGTTAGGCTTGGTTGTGAACGGAGTGCATTGTCATTAAACACTCATTTTGAGTTGGAACATTCGTTGAACAAATCTCTATTTTCTTACTGAAATGATGTACCTTTATAAACCTGTGAACTCATCAACTATTTTATAGTTGACCCTCATTTTTGCATGCTTTTCAGGAAAAGGTCAGTGAGCCAGTTTAAGACGCCACAATGAGTTAAGTTTATTGCTCTTGTTATTTACTAGAATATGTTGTAAGGAACTAAAATCTAATATTGTTTCGAATATGATGTAAACATAAAATGTTCAATGATTATGGTTGGTAATCCTATTTACCTTGTGTTGTGAGACCTTTGCCTGTCATACTTCGTGTTTTCGCTTTAATGAGATGTGACAAAACTCCAAGGTATTGGTACGAACAAAAAACCTGACACTCTTCGTGTTTTCCCTATAGAACCTCCTTCGAAGGGCTTTCACGATGCAAACCTCCCGCACCCCCGTAAGAGGATGGGTTGGGGGTAGGTCTCGAGACAACTTTCATAGGAACTATGGGATCCTTGAATGCCCATTAATGTCCTTTAGACTGGTGTACGTCATCATCGGGGATCACTACAACTCCCTTCGAGCCGGAGGAGGTCGAATTCAGCAGGCCGGCGAGACCCCACCTTTGTTGAATGCTCCGCCCAATGTTGGCAACGCCAACATCAGAGGAAGACTCCCCCATGACCAGATTTGCCTTTCGCTTAGCCATGGCTCGTTGGACACTCGATATGATCCCGCCGTGTTCTCTTCAACCACTTCAGCGGATGAAGGCGATGCAACCACGGAAACCGCTTGAACATCCAGAAGTTGATCACCACCTGTCACAAATGAGTCCTCCTACGGCTGCACCACTGGAGTCGAAAATTCAACTAAACGCTCGACACGATGCGATGGTGTAAGAGTATCGTGGATTTCAACCTTACGATGCTCTAACTTCCCTTGATATCATTTCTGTAAAACATAGTCCATCGAAACTAGAGAATCGGTACCTGCCAAAGCAACAAAAGTATTTTCTAGTCGATAAGTCTGAAAAAAAAAGAGGGAAAAGGAGAAGAGAGCAAGTTCAGGAACACTTACCATCAACAACGACATAGAAGATCAACATCTTCCTCTGTGCATGCCAACTGGGACTCATTCCAACACCAGCAAGGATGACTTCTGGATACTCATTGGGAATGACCTGGATCGTCTTCAGAAAGTCAGCAGTAGCCTGGTTGTGTGGAAACAGCTTAGGGGTAACATCTGATATGTTATTCGCCCGATAGTGCCCATGACCAACTCGTCCCCAGTTAACCCCCATCCATTTTCTTGCCAGTTCTTGGGATTTTTACCATTGGGAACCAGGACATGACCACCGCAACGGGCGGAGAGCGTGAACTTCTCTCCAATGGCACTGAACCGAAAGAAGAACTTGAAGACAAAGAAATCAGGAAGGATATCATTATCTTGATAAATCATCTCGAACGCCACCATCTTGTTGATGGAGTTTGGAGCGAGCATTTGAATGTTGCATCCGTTCTTCTTAAGCAATTCCTCCTTAAAGTCAATTAAGGGAAGACGAAGCCCAACATCGAAGGTCTTCAGATAAATGACAACCTTTCTAAGAGGATGTGACAAGATCATCCAATCAGCAATCGTAAGCTGCATGCATCTGCCGGAGAATCCATAAGTGTCTTACAAAAGGTCAAACTCTATAGGAGATGGAACGATGTCGGGTTGGTTCGCCATGAAAGTAGAAAGAGGAAACAGAGGAGAAAAGTGAAGGAGGAAAGAAAAAAGGAATGAGATAAAAGGCATGAACATGATAAGGAAAATATCTCCGCTTATAAGGAACAAGGAAAGGCAGGATATTCAAAAAAATCCCTGAAAAATGATGTAACTACCTAGCATAATAGGTAGTCACATCGTCGGAAAAATCGAAGCATCATTCAAACCCCAGCTTGACACGTGTATAGGCAGTTAAGTCCAGAACATCATAGCTATCCTAGTGAATGCTATAATTACTGGACTGGGAGAATTGATAATGTGACGTAGCACAGGCTAGGAGTCATGCTCAACCGCGCTAAAGGTGCCACAAGGCAGGCCGCTAAACCAAGCTACTCCCAACGTAGCCGCCTTGACGAAGTCTCGCACCCGTGGGTGTCCCTTTAGAGTCGAACACCAACGTGGAAGGCCCAACCCTTAGCGAGTGCCTTTCATTCTGCTACAAACCTTATGGCTCCAAGCGACAAGGAGTATGCTCAAAGCATTACTACCTGAACCAATTGTTAGCTCTGACACAATGAGGAGCACGATTAACCTATCAAGGCGTCGGATCCTATAAGACTTGATGATCTTGTCCCATTTATGGACTAGCTGGAGGTATCAATATAAAAGAATGCAACTATAGCTAAAGGGTCCTAATAAAAATATTATTATTAATTACCCTACTTCTTTAACCCATGATGAGAAACTTAATAAAATTCTAACATAGCTTCAACTAAAACTACAAAATCAATCCTTTAGGTCAAAAACCTCGACGAAGGTTAGTACCATACATAAGTCATACCACAAATAAACTTGGAACGCATGCCTATCATATGCACGCGAACCTTGAGCAAGGTGTTTGACAGACTACAATGGTCGGGAGTTTTAGAGATTGAAGAATGCTCTCAAGATTCGTTGCAGATACCTAATACCTTAGAATTATTATGTCAACCTTAAAACACTTATACATTTAAAAACTCATGACACTTAAAATTTTCCAACCCTTTAATGCAGATGGATGGATTACTCGACGAATCCCCAGTCTGGATTGAACTTGTAGACCCTGAGGATTAGGGATGAAAGTGGGTCCAAACCCAAACCGGATGGACCCGAACCCGAAAAACGTGGAACCGGTTAACGGGATTTTTTAGAACCCAAAACCGGACCGGTATATAGGAACCGGTTCCGAGTAATGTGGGTCTAGAACCGAAAACCCCAGAAACATCAAAATGGGTAGGTTGTAACCGGATAAAGTAGGTTTAGAATCGGAAAACCCGGAAAAACCGGAATTTTTTGGTAATTACTTACTACTTAGTGGGTTGAACTTTGAAAATTTCAGTTTTGATATCTCGAATTCGGAGGACTGTAAATAACTGAATATTAAAACAAAATGACAAAAATATAGTCTAAACTCATGTACAAACTGTAAACTACAAGTTGAAAAAAACCACATGTCAATCTGACTTCAAACGAATTAGATATTCATGTTTTAAAACTTTAACCGATTACAAAAAAACTGAAAAACTAAAAACTTCCAGCTTTAATATCTCGACTTTGAGGGGCTCTAATTCAATGAATATAAAACTAAAAATGTCAAATTTATAGTCTAAAATCATGTACAAACTCTAAACTACATGTTGGAAAAAACTGCATGTCAATCGGAGTTGAAACTAATGAGATATGTATCTTTTAAACGTTTCACAAAAACCGGTTTCGGCCCTACAAGTGGTTCCGGTTCCTAACATCGATTCCGGTTTTTAGGCCCGGTTTACCCGGACCCAATGGACCCAAATCCGGATTACCCGGAACCCGTATAAAGCCAATTTTTAAAACCGGAACCGGAACTGGTTTTATATATTCCGGTTCTAATGGTTTCGGTCCGATTCCGGTTCTGGTCCGGGTTTCCAGTTCTAAATCTCATCTCTACTGAGGATCGTCATGAGGTCCCATTGCAGTTAGTAGGAGACCCATACTTCCCAGAGAGCTTACCGATGGCCCCAACTGACCTCTCAGAGGAGGAGGATCCTTCGAAGGATGAAGAGGAAGACGATCCAGAGGAAGTCGAAGAGTCCGAGGACAAGATCATACTACATGATCCACAAGAGGAGATGGACGATGACGGTCTAGTAGAGGATGAGGAAAGCCTAACTGGTGAGGAATCCACCCCTCATACTCCAGCATCCTCTCCATATAGGCCATACTATCAACCATACTTCCATCATGGAAGGAGTTCTCTATTGATGAGGACTCCAAGGATGTATGTCCCCCCTCCCCCCAGTATATCACTTGGACACTTTCACTTACATTTCCAAGCCCATTAATTGTAAAAATAAGAAGTCGAATCTTCCCCATGAGATAGCTTGGCTCACTAGCTTGCTCGACAAGAGGAGGGATACTGTTGATCATCCATGAATTGAGATATGCGAGTCTTCTCAGGCTCCACCATGTGTACAACTCAGGGATGATGACCCATGACAACATATTAGATGATAAAGTCCAGTCTTTGGACGAGCACTCTAGAGCTACATGCACTACCTATAGGGTGCTTGAGAAGAGAGTTGGAAGACACGAACATGATGGGAAGGATGAAATAGTAGCCATCTAGACCCTCTATCATCGCATGGGCGCAATTCGCACTGAGGCGGACACTTTGGGTGCTCATATCGGAGCCTTAGCGTATTGGACTCAAATTGCAGAGAGTCGGTTGGGTGCAGTCGAGAACCAAGTGGTTGTTGCTGAGAAAAGGAAACAAAAAATTAATGCGCAGATCGATGAGTTGGTCTACTATTTGATTACACGTTTTAGGTGGTATACATTTCATCTAGGAAGGCTTGTGCCATATGTTAGGGTTAGGGTTTTTGTGGAATAGTTGTTGTACTACAAGTGTTTCTCACGGCCTGTTTAGCAAACATTATTTCGTACAACTTTTCCATTTCTAACCTTACACAGTTGGTACTTTTGTAACCATTATAATAGAAAAAAAGAAGTTCTAATCTACGAAACTATTTTCTAGTTTTTGCTAAATGTTGGAAGTCATTATCTGTATTGAGTGTAAAACACTATCATTACTCATTTAGAAATATCAGGTTAAGACTCTCACTCTATAAATTGGAAATCTGTAGGATTTTAGGAACAAATTACACTAATACACTATCACAAAATATAACTCTTACGTAATTGTTTATGACTACACAGTGTAAAACAACTTTCTGTGTTCGTCTAAACATATTAGGAAAATGCCCCGTGAAAGAGTTTGCGAGTTCGTCCACCACCAACTCCCCAAGTCACTCCAAGAGTTGTACTAATGGTAACCCTAACTTTGAGATAAACTCCAAATTATGGAGTAACTCAAGTCGAAACCCAACAAGTTATCAATCGCCCAGCCCCACCATTTTAAATGGACCCCACACTAATGTAGACCTTGATTGCACTAGGAATTGTCACATCCTTAGTTGCATATGAGGCTACCCGGTACAAAACTGATGGGTTTTGAGCATTCTAACACTTCCTAAGTGTACATGCAACCCTAATAACCTTGGATCTATGTTTGTCTAATTATCATGCAAAGTTGAATTCCAAGGTTATATTCCTATCTAGCATACATGGGGAACAATTTTAACATAAAGTATAGATAGAATAACTTACCTTGTTGTTGTTTGTGTTCCTTGAAACCTTGTGAGCCTAGCACCCCAAGTGTGATGCCTCAAATGCTTCACACAACACCAAATGCTCTTGGAAGAACTTATGAGAGAACACACACTTCTCAAAATCGGCCAAGCCCTCTTGTTTCTTAGTGTAGCCGATTTTAGGTGGAGAACATGTTACTTATATAGTGTTGACACATCTAGGGTTAAACCCTAATGTGTCATGACTCTTCATTTCCATGACCCATGGGTTTGTAACTCCCATGGAGCATCCATGGAGCATCCTATGGGTGGAACCCAACTTGATAGTCCATGGAGCCTTTTAGCCCACTATACAAGATATGGATGATTTACATAATCAACCCATATATTTAATTAGTTATCTTTTGATCACATAATTAATTCTAAATTAATTCTTGATCAAACTAATCAAATAATATTATTAATATATTAGAACTTATAATATATTAATAATCTCCAAGTGTTATTTCTCTCATTTAGTCTATCCAATTGCATGTGCCATGCAACCCAAATGGACCATGCCGGGTCGGGTCAAGTACATACCAGAAATAGTTATGGACTTAGACACCTTATCCAACAGTCTCCCACTTGGATAAGTCTAATAACTATTACTGCAAGTATGACTTCAGGAACCGATCGGCAATCGTAGCTCTTTACAAGGTTTCTCGAAACTGAGAAGATGATGGTACGCCATTTAAGATAAGTGATCATATAATCCTCTGTTCTAGATATCAGTCGGACAAATACATGGAACAATGTCTTACTTATTGTCCAACAATTTGTTTCCCGATTTCCGATTTGTTTGACAAAGAACTTCATTGAACACATCAATTTAGTTCTGACCGGGCCCGGTACATAGGTCAAAACAAAATCATCGAGGGGCCCAGATATCAGCTTCTAATCCAAGAAGGAACAGATAAACTTCGACTCATATGTTTGTTCTACTACTCATTGAATTACACACAAGAGCGCGATTTATAACATCGAGTTACCAATGCATTTTTCGTACAATCAATGCATAACCAACTTGTAAGTAACAAATCATATCTCTAGGTTTAAAGACTTATATGATATTACCGTCTCACGATCACTCGAGATAGAATTCCATGAAGTGATTCCAGTGAGCGTGGGTTGAGTCCAATGCTCAGAACTTATGAGCACTCATGATTGTTGTAGCCTTGTCCAAGACCTCTACAACCAAACATGACAGTCTTGATTCATACCTACTTCCGACATATGACCGACTGTGGAGGTTTGAATAATATGTTATACCAAACAAAATTATTCTGGAAGTCAAAACATGCAAAAGAAATATAGTAAACGATCGACAAGAGATAGCAACACTTTACTCATAAATAAAACACTTTTATTCATCATCAAATGTCAATTACACTTTACAAATTTCGAGGTTATCTAACTACTAAATCTAATATCATCCTTCAGCCCTATGCTCCGAGCATGCTGGAGATGCTTAACCCGAGTCAGTCCCTTCGTGAGGGGATCTGCCGGATTCTCATCTGATGATACCCTCTTTGCCACGAGGAGTCCTTCTTCGATCCGATGTCTGATGAAATGGTATTTTCTGTCGATGTGTCTGGATCTCCCGTGATCCCTTGGTTCCTTGGCTAAGGCAACAGCACTTTCACTATCACAGAAAATTTCCATTGGCTCTTTAATAGCTGGTACAACTCCAAGGTCTCCAATGAAGTTCCTCAGCCATAACGCCTCCTTTGCCGCCTCGCTAGCTGCAATATACTCTGATTCACAAGTAGAATCTGCCACTGTCTCTTGCTTGGAACTCTTCCAAGAAATTGCTCCTCCATTTAGGGTAAAGACCCAGCCCGACTGAGAGCGGAAGTTATCCCTATCAGTCTGGAAGCTAGCATCACTATACCCTACAACTCTCAAGTCATCACTCCCACCGAGGGTAAGGACCCAGTCCTTAGTCCTTCGTAGGTACTTGAGAATATTCTTTACCGCAGTCCAGTGTGCCTTGCCAGGGTTCCCCTGAAACCTGCTAACCATGCTCAGGGCAAAAGCTACATCAGGTCGAGTACACGTCATAGCATACATGATCGATCCTACAGCCGAAGCATAAGGTACTCGACTCATTTGTGCTATCTCAGCCTCAGTGCTAGGGCTTTGTGTCTTACTCAGTTTGGCGTTACTCTGGATGGGCAACTCTCCTTTCTTGGAGTCTTGCATTCTGAATCTCTTCAGCACCTTATCCAAGTAGGTACTTTGACTAAGTCCAATTAGTCTTTTACTCCGATCTCTCAAGATCCTTATCCCCAAAATATAGGCAGCTTCACCAAGGTCCTTCATAGCGAAACACTTTCCAAGCCAGGACTTTACTTCCTGCAGGGTTGGAATGTCGTTTCCTATGAGTAGTATGTCATCCACATACAATACCAAAAAGCTAACTATACTCCCACTAGCCTTGACATATACACAAGATTCATCTTCACTCCTAGAAAAGCCAAATTCCTTGACCTTTTCATCAAAGCAAAGATTCCATCTGCGAGGTGCTTGCTTTAATCCATAAATGGATTTCTCAAGCTTACACACTCTATTAGGGTACTTCTGCTGACAAAACCTCTGGCTGACTCATGTAAACATCTTCAGCCAACTTTCCATTAAGGAAAGCGGTTTTGACATCCATTTGCCAAATTTCATAGTCATGAAATGCGGCTATGGCTAACAGAACCCGAATAGACTTAATCTTGGCTACCGGAGAAAAGGTCTCATCATAATCCACTCCAGGAATTTGAGAGAAGCCCTTTGCAACCAGTCTAGCCTTATAAGTGTGTACTTTACCATCCATGTCGGTCTTCTTCTTGAAGACCCATTTGCACCCTACAGTCTTTCGACCTGGTACATTCTCAACCAAGTTCCAAACTTGATTGTCATACATGGATTGTATCTCGCTATCCATAGCCTCTTTCCATTTAGCAGACTCGGGGCCTGCCATGGCTTCCTCGTAGCTGTTAGGGTCATCTTGACTTACTAGTGTCCCATCACTAATAAGTGTCTCACCTTCTGCAGTAATATGGAATCCATAGTAATGCTCAGGTGCACTCCTAACTCTCGTGGAACGCCTCAGAGGTACAGATTCGTCAATTGGCTCAACAGGAGTTTCCTCCTCAAGTTGAGGGCTAGAGTTTGAAGTTCCTTCACCACTTGACTCTTGAATTTCTTCAAGATCAACTTGCCTCCCACTGTCTCCTTGGCTTATAAACTCTCTTTCTCGAAAGACTCCTCTTCTTGCTACAAAGACCACATTGTCACTAGGTCTGTAGAAGAGGTAACCAAAGGATTGCTGTGGGTAGCCGATGAAAATACACCTCTCGCTTCGGGGTTCGAGCTTATCATGAGTCTCGCGTCTCACGAAAGCCTCGCAACCCCAAATCTTGATGTGGTCTAGTTTAGGTACTTTACCAGTCCACATCTCGTGAGGAGTTTTGGCAACTTTCTTTGTAGGGACTAGATTAAGGATATGGGCGGCAGTCTCTAAGGCATACCCCCAGAATGAGATTGGTAGCGAAGCTCGACTCATCATGGAACGAACCATGTCCAACAAGGTTCGATTACGCCTCTCAGCCACACCATTCAACTGCGGTGTCCTGGGAGGTGTCAATTGTGAGACAATCCCACATTCCCTTAGATAGTCGAGGAACTCTGAACTAAGATACTCACCACCCGATCGGATCGAAGCATCTTAATGTTCCTGCCCAATTGATTCTCGACTTCCTGTTTAAATTCCTTAAACTTCTCGAAAGTCTCTGACTTATGCTTGATTAAGTAGACATATCCATATCTACTGTAATCATCAGTAAAAGTCAAATAATAACGATTAGCATCCCTTGTGGCATGTTTGAATGGCCACACACATCCGTGTGTATAAGGTCCAACAAACCTTCACCCCTTTCACACGAGCCTG